GAGAGACGGAGCGTGCCAGAGGTCGTGCGGGAGTGTCGGCAGAGGGGCGCTCGGGGTGACGTCAACCCCGCCCCCTGCCATTCTGAGGTCCTCTTCTACCCCGTCTTTTCCAAACCCTCGCCTCCAGAGCCACGCCGCTCCTCACGGGGCCCACTCACGTCGTGCCACAACGGCCACTGGGGCGCCACCCCCAAGACCAAGGAGGAACGCGACAGAGCCACAATATACAAAATGATGATAAGAGGCAAAGAGCCGCATTAATTTTGGCCGGGAGCCGCATGCGGCTCTAGAGCCACGTGTTCGCCACCCCTGCCCTAACTACTACACTTCCCACTCCAGTCTGTGAGTACAACATCAAGCTCTAACATAAGTATATGAACTATTACTTTGCAAGATTTTTTCATCACAGAGTTTTTGTTACAAAGAAAAGCAGCCTTTCATAAATTCATAAGAGGATTTAGTTTTAAGAGATATTGTATTAAGTTCAGTTTTAATTTTAAACCAGCTAATTTTTAAAAGAAATGTTATAGCTGAAACTTAAAAAAAAAAAAACAGGAATCCAATTTGATTTTTTTAAATCATCAATTTTTATCCTGGCTGGTGTTATCCACAAGTTTCTTTGTTGCTTTGGCTGTGGTTCTGTGTTTTACCACAGGCTAAATATTTTTTTTTTGTATGTAAACTCTCCTACAAAGGAGAGAATTTTATTGCTTTTAATTTCAGAAAGAGGGAGGGTATATAGTGGGATTAAGAAAAGAGTGAATGATGCTTCAATTAGTATATTAATCTTTGGTTAGTATTAATCATATCTTCTTTTGGCTTCTTCCATGAGTTGGTCAATCGTCTTTCATCTTTCCTGTAAAAACAAATAGAAATGTAGTAGTGTCCCTTTGGTTTATTGTTAGTAAAGTCTTTTCATGCCCTTCCTGAACCAATCTTCATGTTCTGGGCTGTCTTCCTTTTACGTCTCTCAGATTGTAAGATGGACCTTTCGTTCCTCCTTCATCTTCCGGATTCTTGTCTCCTTTCTCTGAGCCGCTGTCTTCGTCGCTGCCAAATACCTCCCATTTAGCAAGTGCTGCTTCCTCTGGACTGGCGTGTCTCTTCAGAAAGTCTTGAGCTTTGAAAATGGAGACAATCTTCTCCCTTTTATCTTTAAATTTAAAGATAAGTCCTTCTGGAATCAACCATCTATAGCTAATTAGATGGTTTTGCAAGAACAAGGTCAGTCCTTTGTATGCCTTCCACTTCATTCGAATTTCAAATGGAACATCTTTCAAGATTCTGACTGTCTACTCTCCAATCTTCAAAGGCGTTGATGAAGACGCTCTTAAAATTTGATCTCTGATCCTCTGTTTGGTAAACTTGACCACCACTTCTGCCGGCAGATTATTCATCTTTGTAAAGTTGGAGTAGGCTCTGTACACCAGATCCATCTCCTCGCTTAGTTTATCCACTTCCCAGCCGGTGAGTGGTGCCAAAGCCTCTGCTAGAATACTGAGATCTTCTTTTTCAATTTCCTTTATGCCTTGAAATCGGAGAGTCAAATTTGATTTTTTCCATTTGAAGCATCAGTAACTTTTTGTCTTGCATTTCTTGATGTTTTTCCATTTTGTCGACCTTCTTCTTGACTTTTTGGGTATCTTCCATTGAGACCAGACATTTCTGTGCGATTTCCTCCATCTTCTTAGCTGTATCATTCAACTGTTTCTGCTGGTTACTGAGAACACTTTTCATGCTTGACAACGTTTGATTTATTTTTTGCATTTGCTCCAGCAGAGGGCGCAGTATCCCGCTTTCCTATTGATTGACAGCTGGCTCTAAGAGGCGGGAGCCAGGACCGGAAGTTCCTCCCAGATTCTTCGCCGGCTTCTCAGGAAACTTTTTTTGCCCCGACATCTTTGTTTTATTGTTTACTTTTTAAAAGTTCGTGCTGCGCAGCTTAAGAATGAGTCTTCCTGCCTCTCCTTAAACAATTGACCAAAAGGTAACACCACTCTTCCAAGATTTCACTCCCTCCCTCTTCTTTCTATTAATTCAGTCTCTGTTTATTCGGGGGGGCTCCCCCCTCCTCCCTTGCGCTTTTTCAACAGGGGGGAATGCGCTTATCTCTTTTTTTCACATTTCGGCCCTTTATTTCTCTTTTCAAACGCTTTTCCGCTTCATCACTCGGTGACGTCCGGCGGCTCTGCTAGTCCCCGTGCGGGGCACTGCCGCGGCAGGGCCATTGGGGCATGGGGCGAGCCTCAATTTCCGACCTTCAGGCCGGTAAAGAGGCACATCCCCTGTGCGCCCCGGATCGGAACCTCACCCTGAGGCTCCTTAGGGTCTCCGCTTATGGGGATTCCCCCCCTTAACCACGCGTGGGCGAATCGCCTCCAGGAGCCTCCCGAAGTTGCGACCGCCATTCACAGAGACCAAACCGGAAGCCACCACAGGCTAAATATTTGAGTTTGTTCTAACTTGTCAGTGGACAGCTTGTGCCTATAAACATGCATGTATGCATTCATACATACACACACACATCCCTCAAATGAAGACTGTACTGCTATGAGGAGTGTAATGTTGGAGCCACAAGCCTGCACAATATCTAACGTTCTCCTCTGTGAAAAGAAAAATCAGTTATGCTTCTCCCTTGTCCTTGAGATGGAGCTGCAATCTTGCACACATTTGTAGCTTTAATGTTACATCAGTGAGCAGACTGCTTATATGAGCAGGGTTTTATTACTGAAGTCAGCCACCAGTATATTGTTGCTCAAAATTCAGAAACTGCTGCAAGCTTGAAATCTTTCTGCTGCCACAGGTTGGATTCAATTTTGATACACTACAGTTGTCACTTTCTGAGCATTTGTAGTGGGGCTTGCCAAAAGCTGAAACCTGTGCAATGTGCCTACACTCCAACTGTCTCTATTTACCAGTGACTATTTCCTAGTCTCTGTTTTTTGCCTTTTAGGGGATGCCTTACTATTTTTTTTTTTACTGAGAGTTCAGCTTCTTCAACAGAGTCTCAAAAAGTGAAATCTCTGAGTGGGGTGGATGGGTGGGTGGATACATCTTGTCAAGAGCATCAAGCACACAGTCTGCTATTTTGCATACTGCAGCATTCAAAGTCTATTTTGAACTATTATGACATTGTTAGGACAATTAGGTTTTTCTAGTGTATCTTGAACCAAAAGAACAACACCCTTTTGGCTATTATATCAGCGCAGGACAACTTATTGATGCTAGTAAATGAACATACAACAGACACGGTAGAACCTTCAGTAATATGCAATGCGCGGGGGGTTCGCAAGCATTTATCCTTGCTATAAATGCAAGATTTGTGTCCCTGTATTTACATGTAAAATAATGGAGGGTGGTGGCAAACACCTGGCTTTACCTACTGTTGTGATCTCAATGGTTTCAAAATTGGCCCAGATTCTCTCTCTCTCTTCCATAAGACAGATATCTACAAAGCACTTGATTATTGACTTTGAAAGAATACACATGAGTCCCTTGTATCATTAATGCATTTTTTCAAGTTGGGCAGGTATTGCTTCCAGAATGACCATATGAAAATAATGTTATCGGAGTCACCCAAAATGTACCCTGCACCCTGTTGGCTCAACATCAAATATGTAGATTACATTATTAAGAGGTTACTCCAAGGTCTATTTCTCACTGGGGAAGTAAGCTTTCATGTGGGCTGCACCACTTCAGAAGGCAAATGGGAACTCCATGATTGAATATTCTATACAAAACAATTTCTTGAACACAGAAGACATGTCAGGGAAAAAGCTAGGTTAGAACCTTTCATTCCCACATTGCTAGATTTCAATATGGAAAGAATTTTTGGGATAGAGTGGCATTCAGACACATATTTGCAGTACCTTTGGACAT